GAACCGAGAGGCCCCACAACCCGCTCCCCTGCCCCTCCTCGCTCCAGCACAGCCGCGCTGCCCGGGACTCAAACATGACTGCGGATACCCTTAGTGACGCGTCCTCCGCCCCAGGAACGCTCAGCGTCAACTTCCCTCCCTCCCAATCCAGCTCGAGCTGGTGGCCCGACGGGGGTCTGGGCGGGAGCCCCAAGCCCTAGCAACCCCTGCCTCCAGTCCCCGGACGCTAGGCTCCAACTCGGAAGGGACCCTACACTGGGAGGTCCCATGGCGACGGGGGGGTAGGGTGGGTGGGGCCTGCTTGGAGCCAAAGGAGGGGTCTTCCGGAAGGACATCTCCTCCACCCCGGGTTCCCAACTCTCCGCCCCCTTGAGAGAGCTGTTGCATCAGCTTGGAGATCCCAAATTGAAGAAAGTGGTCTCCAGCAGGCCGGGACGGATGTGTCGAGCGGCCAAGCCACCGCCAGGCGGCAGCGCTTAACAAAAAAATGTCTGGACCAGTGTGCCCGGGAAGCAGGGCCCCAAAGCACCTTTCATCTGAGGAGCCTTGGCGGCAGAGTGGACCCTGCGAAAAGAGAGAGATCCTGGGCTATAGTTCAAGAAAAGGGATCAAGAGATGCTTCCGCACGTTTTAAGGCTAAAAAGATGACTTTCAAATAATACAATTACCTTTTTTTATACCTTTTGGACAACTTAGCTTTGACATTTTTTAAAGCCCAGATTGCCACTCTGCAGAGATTCACAGTAGACTACCTTCAAGATTCACAGCCACCCACCTTCAAGACCAGCCTAGTGGAAAGGCACACATCTTAATAAGGGACTTCCCAGCCGCCAAGCAAGAAAGAAGCGTGTAGCCTAAGGTCATAATTTACCCACCTTGAAGCCAGGTCATTTAACATAGAATTTAGCCAGTACTGATTAAGAAGGGATTTGACAGCTCTGGGAAAAGAAGAGGAATGCATTACAATAAATTATATAAGTAAAAAGGAAATAATATGCAAAGCCATGTATGCATGTGTGTGGGTGGTTTATAACTGTCAATTTCCACACTTCTTACACGGAGTGGTACAGTGATTTGATCTTTGAGCAGTCCTGAGGAGGAAGACTTGGAAGAATGTAAAAGACATGAAAGAATGTACCCAAATCGTTCTCCCTTCTCTCCACAACTTCAGCCCTAGAATTTGGTCACAGCATGCAAAAAAGGGGAAGAGGCTAGAAAACAAGATGGAATTAATTACCCAGAGTAAGCTTCACTTAAGTTCTTTCTCCATTGTTATTCATCACAACAGTTAAAAAGCACCTAATTTCCCAGAACAAAGCACTTGTACAAAAGCAACTCTATAAATACAGGCCTGACAGGACAAAAGGATATTTAAATAAACATATTAAACAAAAATGTGAGTGAATAATGAAAAGTTAAAACCAAATACAGGTCATGATGCCCTTGAAAAGCAAAGGAATTTCAATAGCTTTGTGGCCAGAAGGAACACCAGCAAAGTGGTCCTCTCCTGTTGGCTTGGGCTGTCAGAATCCAAGAGGAAAGACATGAAGCAAAGACTCCTGGTGCTTCTCATTGCTTTTAACTTCAGCCTTTGCCAGATGAAGTACAGAGGTTGAAAGGCATCTAGTTTGGGATGACGAAGCTGCTTTACTATGGCTTATGAGGCTGATATCATCGAGAAGCGCTGTCCAGGTGCCTGACCCCCTCCCCATGAGGTCCCAGAGAATATTCATGATGTTAGCTGTTAGCTTGCTCTCTCTTTCCTTCTCCCCCCTCCTTCTGTCTTTGTCTCTCTCTCAAAATCTCAACCCATTATTTCCTGCTGTTTACAACCCATAGATTGTCCCCCTGCCACATCACAATAACCACGTCAAAGCCTGAACTTGTCTTCCTCCCAGACTTCCCAGCTCTGAACAAATTTCCCATCCTGCCCCCGAAGTCCTCCGGCTCTGGCTCCTACAGCCATTAAATGATTGCATGTGTTTACGTCTATATGTGGAGTTCATATTGTCCACATTATTTGCTCACCTTAATGCACGTCCTTTTCATTTTTTAATCTGCATTTACTTTTTTTATTGTTTTATAACACAACATTGGCCAATTCAACATCTTTCATGTGTAAAGTTGTGACATCAGTTACATTAATCATGTTGTACAACCATCACCAATATCCATTACCAAAGTTTCCATCACCATAAACAGAAACTCATTGCTTCCTGAACAGTGATTCCCCCTTATCCCCTCCCTTCCACCCCGGTAACCACTATTAAATTTTGATCTCTATACAATTGTCTATTCTAGGTATTTCTTGTAAGTGAGATCATTCAATATTTGTCCTTTCGTCTCTGACTTACATGTACTCTTTTCTATAATTTTGCAAATCAATGGTGTTCCTCTATTGTGCGAGCTACTAGAAAATGGAGTGTTTCTTGTTTAACTCCTTTATGTAGTACAAGTGGTAGAGCCAGCCTGTCATCCTTCCTCTCAATCCTGAACATTGACACTTCGGTTATTCTTTGAGCCTGTGGCTTCTACCACTCAATTCCCCAACGGTAAACTATTTAATGAGATTCCAGTGCTGTCTACTTTCAGCTGTCTATCTCAGCACCAGCCAAAGGCTCATGGAGACAGCCTTGGGGAAAGTGTCACTCAGCCTTTATTCTATCACTAACTATAAAATAATAAATCAGCACCCAACTTTTGGTTCAGTTCTCTGATCTCTGAAAACTACAAGCAATTTGTAAAATGATTGTTTCCTGACCTGTCTTATCTACTTTACAGGTTAATTATAAAAATCAAATGAAATCATTTATGTGGAAGTGTTTTGTTATGTAAAAATGAAGCATGAAGTGTATGAATGTAAGATAGAAATGGTACTCTTTTGTCTTATTTTCCTTGTCCCCCCGCCCCTGTCCATTTTTTGGCTTCTAGCCAAGTTTCTTTTGTTCCATTCCCCTCTTCTGATTTAGCCCTGGCCTATACCATTCTTACTGTTATCAAAATAACTGCTTTTACTTCTCAAACCAGGAGCCACCCTTCCCCTCTTCAAAGCACAGCTCAGAGACACCTCCTGTGGAAAACCTTCCCAGTCTTGCAGAAGGAAATGATAAACTTCCAGACAGGCCATTACACCACTCCCTCAGGTCCTGTCCCCCCCAGCATGTGTTTGAGTGTCTATCATAGCACACAGTACTGGGCACTTTTGTAGGAGTGTCACCTTTTATAAAGTACTTTCACATTATCAGTTTTAAGATGTTTTCATATAGGCACTATACTAAGCTTTTTTTTTTTTTAATGAAGAAATTAAAGATAAATGACTTCCCCAAGGCAGTACTGAATAGTAAGTGATAAAAAGGAGGGAAGGATTCACATATCTGGGTTTGTCACTTACTAATACAGGTAGTCCCCAATTTATGATGTATTTGAGTTACGACGAACCTCACTTACGACCATCCATTTTGTTTTGTACATCTTATCGTTAGTATTATGTACTACATACAGTGTTACAGTGCATAATTTGCTGATGTGATCATTCTCAGATGTTCACTCACGTATGTTCAATTTCATGATTTACTGTTCAAAACACTGCCATATAGATTTCGTTTTCTAAACTAAATCAGGGGCTTCAGTTGCTTGAAAACATGGACCCAAACTCTGATCATGTTGCTAAAGTTGACAGGCAGATTCAGGAAGCAGTGAGATGTTACCATGAAATATATGAAGAAAACAAGAAAAGGACCACACAGACAACTCTCACTAATTTTCTGACTAGAAACGCCATCCCTTTTCCCAGGGATAATCCAGATGATCCAGAGCCTTCCACAAGTGGAGTTATAATCGCAACTGACAAAATGCCAGTGTTGTCCAACTCTTATCGTAGGAGTAAATTTTTATGATTTGTGTATTTTTCTTTGTTATGTATGTATTAAAGGAGCCCTGGTGGTGCAGTGGTTAAGTGCTCAGCCGCTAACCGGAAAGTTGGCAGTTGAAATCCACCAGCAGCCCCTCCGGAAAAGAAATGGCAGTCTGCTTCAGTAAAGATTACAGCCTTGCAAACCCTATAGGGCAGCTCTCCTCCGTCCTATAGGGTCCCTATGAGCTGGAATTGACTGCAACTGGTTTGGTTTTGGTTCGTATTAAAATATATCTGTAAGTTTATATGTAATGTTTCCAACCCCCAAAGACAAATAAAGATCGGATTTATAAAGATACTGATAATAAAAGGCAATAATAATGAAAACTGAAAAAAAAGAATGTTTTGGACTTAACATCAGAACCGACTTGGAACCTCATCATACGTCAGTTACTACCTGTACCTACCTCACAAGAAGGAGTATAGTTGGCAGTGTGTGGTAGTAGCTCTTATAAAACTGGAATCATATCTCAGCTCCAACACTCCTTCTTCAAGGAAGTCTTCTGTGACTGCCTATTCTAAATTAAGTCCCCATTATATGCCTACAGGCACCACGTCTCTTTCCTTCCCAGCACTCATCTCAGCTGTCAGGTTACATTAATGTGTGTGGTCATCTGATTATTGTCTTCTCTCTAGATTGAAAGCTGTATCGAGATAGAGATATTTCTTTTTGCTCTCCATAGAATCTCCTGTGCCGAATACAACACTTGTCACGTAGAACTTCTTCAATAAATTTTGTTGGATAAATAGGTGTGAATTTAAACCCGAGTTTTCTGATTCACTCTAGATTTGGCCACTTAGTCTTGGAAAAATATGTGACTAACAGTGATGCAGGACACTGCAGAATGAAGTAATGTAGCTGTAACTCCTCTGAGACCTTATTATAAATTTCAAAGGACTAGAGGACGCGAGGACAGTTCTTTCACGGTTCAGTCTAGGAGGACACGACTTCCACTGAGGAGATGCATGAGCAAAACGCAGTTTTGTCCTTCATTTCCGTACGACGACCCAAGATGGCGGGACCCGTAACTTGAAAACCATGTCCAAGATGGCGGCTTCCGGCTTCCTCCGCAGCGTCTCGCGTGCCTTCGAAGCCACGCCCATTTCCGGCCCCTTCGCCTTAGCATGGCTGTTTTGGTAGCTTTTCTTTGGAGTGAGTGGGAATGGGGTTTTTGGGCTCCGGAGCCAGCGGTGGGGCGGGCCGGGGACCCCTCAGCCTGGCTGTGAGGCTCTCCTCTGACTCTGCCCCGTTTCCCAGTAGGTGTCCGGAGACTGCACTGCAGCTCGGCGGCTCGGGCGGGCAGCCAGTGGCGGCTCCAGTGAGTTGAGGGGGTCGGTGAGCTGAGGGCCCAGGAGCCGTGCCGTGCCCTTACCAGACAGTTTTTCTCCCTCCAGGCAAGGTCTGGCTGCCAACCCGTCCGGCTGCGGACCTCTTACTGAGCTGCCAGACTGGTCGTACGCGGGTAAGCGCCGATCTAACACTTTAGTTTGGAAATTTTCACCCAAAGGGAACGCCCCTGGACGGAGAGGGCCTGGGGGTGTCAAGGTGGGGAGGTCTGAGTGGAAAACGAATTTAACTTTATATTTGGAAGACAGAGTTTAGGTGAAGAAGCCTTATTTATTTTGTAAATTAAACTGCGACTACGGAAAGTAAAGCTAGGCAGGATAGATCCTCGTGGCTTGTGGCGATAAGCGGAATATAATTCTGATTCGGGGCTCCCCGGAGTGGGAGAGGGTGACAAGACTTTCACCTTTCTCAAAAGGGAACATGGTTTTTTAAAAGTTAGGAAGCACTGCCCTTTGGTGTGGTGAGTACATTGTTGAGAGTTTGGTACCAAATGCACAGAGATCTCTTTGAAAGTTCCTAAATGAGCGTCTAAGAGAAGTAGAAGGGTGAAGATTGAGGATGGCAGGCTCCCTTCAGGAAAGTATTTCCCCTTTACTTAAGAAAAAGAAAAAAGGAGATAAGAGAGGGAGGGAGGGAGGCAGAGAAGAGGAAGGAGGAGAAAAGGGATATTGGCCCTAGAAGGGGCCTTAGAGAAGTTGAAACCACTACCCACTCTCTATGTAGGACTTTACAAGTAGGGAAATTGAAGCCTGCAGAAATGAAATGCCTGTAATCACACAGCTAGATTGTAGCAAAGCCAGGACTAGAACTGGGCAGGGGCCAGACCCCCTTCACAGCACAAATACCTGAGTATAGATACCCTATTAGGTTTTATAGGCTACAGATCCCGCTTAATCAGATATTGATGACTGAGGAGGATGGTGAAGATATTTTCAACTTGTTATTTAACTGTAGAAAGCCTAGGATCTCCTTGTGGTTAGTGGAATATTGGAAAGACTCTGGAGTTATACAAACCTGATTTTTAACGCAAGCTTCCCTACTTGCTAACTTTGCGGTCTTGGGCAAATTACTTAATTTTATCTGATTATCAGTTTCCTCATCTGTGAAAGAAGAAAAATATCTATTTCATATGGTTCTTGTAAGAATCAGATAAAACAACAAATGTAAAGCACCTGGCATATGCAATATTGGTTCCATTTCTTGATAAATAATACCTCTCATCTATCTTGCCTTCAAACTTTTGAGCAGAGTTTTCTCTATATTATTTTCTGTTTGTTTGTTTCTCTGTAGAAGGTAGGTATCCTTTCTCCCCATCTCCATTATAAACTACTTGAGGTCAGATACTGCATCTTTTCAGCAAGTCAGCAGGTATTTATGGAGTATTTATTAGGTACCTATGTGTCTGCACTATACTGTGAACAGCTAAAGAAAGATATAATCCCAGATCCAAAGTAACTTGCCTGGGAAAACAAAACATGGGCATTTTTTAAAGTAAATAATACTTTAGTACTCTGCCCGTTTCCAAAACAATTTGAGATGCCTAAGTACACTAAAAACAATAGTACAAGAAATGTCCCAAGGCAAATAGACGAATATTAAATGATCCATATGTACTTCTTTCAGAACGGGTTGAAAAAGTTAGAGAAGTGTTTCTGAGAAAGTTAGGTCTTGAGCTGGGCCTAAAAATGAGGATTTGGCTGGAAGGAAAGGAGAAGGGCATTTCATTATGGAGTGGGGTGGAATTTAGTGCAAAGACTCACAGTGAGTAGAACAGTGATCAGATCACTTGAGTGGAGGATTTCTGAAGATAAAACAGATGCAGCATTGCAGAAGACCTTGATGTCTCCAAGCTAAAGGGTGAAATAGAGTGTGAACATGTCTAGGAACTTATTCTTGGTGGGCCTGTCATAGAAAAATTGCCTACAATAGTGTGAAATAGAAGAAAGGGGCTAGAGATTGGTTCTTCCCTGATTCCTATCACAGTGTTTGCACAAGGTGCTGCAGGCCATATCTTAGCACTTGCCTTTTCTCTCACTTCTATCTGCAGATGGTGGTCCTGCTCCCCTAATGAAAGGCCAACTTCTGAGAAAAGCCCAAAGGGAGAAGTTTGCAGTAAGTGATTAGAGAAACCAGCAGGGCTACCTGTGTGTAATCAGAGAAGGAAAATTTAAATCATAATTTGTCTTGAGCTCTGTCAGCACCTACACTAATATGTGTCCCTCACACACAGGCTTTAACAGAAAAGGGAGGAAGAGAGTGGGGCACCTCTAGGGCAGAAACAAGCAGTAGACGTTCTGCCCCATGTTTTGCTGCCTTCCTCTCCTACTTCCAGACCCAGGACACGGTCCCACCCCTTCCCTAGTCAGCAGTGTAATTTTCCAGCTGAAACCTATGACTTTGATCTGTGAGTGAAAGGATGTATGGTGCAGAGCTCAAGCCCCAGATGTTATCCACACTGTTTTCCTGTCTGTTTCAGAGACGAGTTGTATTGCTGTCACAGGAAATGGAAGCTGGATTACAGGCATGGCAGTACAGGCGGCAGCAGAAGTTGCAGGAAGAAGAAAAGAGGCAGAAAAATGCTCTTAAGCCCAAACGGGCTTCACTGCAGAGCCCACTTCCAAGTCAATAAAAAGCAACTCTTACCCTGTTCTCCCACTGTTCTCTTTCTTTTTTTTAAAATTGTGGTAAAAATACATATAACAAAACAATTACCGATTCAACAGTTTTTACGTGTACAATTCAGTGACAGTGATTATGACATTTATCATGTTGTACAGTCATTACCACTATCCTTTTCCAAGTTCCACGACCATTAACAGAAACTCAGTGCCCCCTAAGCAGTGGCTTCCTCTTTCTCCCTCCCTTCTACCCCAAACCAAAACCAAACCTGTTGCTGTTGAGTCGATTCTGACTCATAGTGACCCTATAGGATAGAATAGAACTCCCCCGAAGGGTTTCCAAGGAGCGGCTGGTGGATTCAAACTGTTGACTTTTGGTTAGCAGCCAAGTTCTTAACCGCTGCACCATAAGCTTTGGTCTCTATACATTGCCTATTTCATACAAATGAGGTCATATATCATATAATATTTGTCCGTTTGATTCACTCAGTATGTTTTCAAGGTTCATTCATGTTATAGCATGTATTGGGACTTCATTTCTCTTTATGACTGAATAATATTCCACCTATCTACCATATTTTGTTTAACCATCTGCTGATGGGCTTTTAGGTTGTTTCCACCTTTTGGCTTTGTGAGCAATTCTGCAATGACCGTTGGTATCTTTTCTAGATGTCTTATCCCAGACAGAAGGGAGCCTTTATGTTTCCCACCTGTTTTCAGAGCAAGAGCTTGGATGCCAGGAAGAACAGGCTGTAAGATCACTAACGGCTCAGTGCGCTTACCCTGGCTCCATTCCAGTTCAGCTGAATCTTGCTCTGGGATTTTCATCCCTCTTCAGGCCGTAGGACTGGCCTGAGTATGAGTTGGAGCTCCTCTGAGAACATGAAAAGGGAGCAGCAGTTTCCCTGGTTTTAGCCAGGCACTCAAGCCTGTTACCACAGCCCATACACCGCTCAGGCGATGTGCAATTAGACATTTAATGAATGTTGTGGTGAAAAAAGCTTTCGGCTGAGGTCCATTTCTTGGCAAGAAACTGGTACCAGTTTTCGTAAAGTTCAGATACGTGACCCAGGAGGATATCCCCACTGGAAGGCTAACAAGGTAAGAACCAGACTTGCCTATTGAATGTTCTGCTTGAGCTGGGTCCTGAGGTCTCCATGGTTCTGACAATTCCAGAGGTTGGCTGGAGAGGGATCTGCCCACCCCTCCCCACCCCAGTTTACATAGGGAGCACTAGAAATGCTCAGCCCTCAAACAGTCACTGTGGGATGGCTGCCCAGGAACCTGGGGAGTCTGCCATTTTATTGATCATGGCTCCTCCCATGGATTCTGACTTTTCTTCCATTCTTCTGCCACAAATATGTGATAGTTCCTGGATCCCTAGGATTTCTGGACCTTGTCTGACCTAATTTCTGTCCAGTCTCTTCTATTCCTTCCTTGCTTTCTTTCCCTCCCTCTGCTCCCCTCCTTACTCTCTCGCTGACCAAACGCAATTCTTGGATCTTAGATTTTGCTGATGATCGAGTTGTCTGTCTCCCACACTTTTCCTGCTTCCGTTGTGCTGCTTTTCCAGATCTACTTCTCAACCTCTTATCTGTCTCTCTTTCCCACCATCAGCTTTAGTTACCCTCCCCATTCCCTGCATACCTCCACCTTTTGTTCTTGATGTCTAGTCGGTCCTGAAGGAGGAGCTTTTACTCTTTAAGGAATTAATTGCCTCCTTTTCCAGTGTATAGGTAAAAACTAAGCCCCAGAGTCCTAACAGCCAATACCTTTCTCCTAACAATTTCACCAAACTTGATTTGCTTTTCCCCAGATTTGATGTGCTTTTACCCGTTTCCTCCCCAGCCAGTCCCCTAATTCAAGGAGCAGCCAGATTGCAAACAGTAATAATAAAGGGACCACATTTGTCTTCCTACAAGGACAGATCCTTCAGATCCAGTGTGCTTGTGGGGTTTAATGTTGGGGTAGTTGGGTTTTGTTATTTCTTTTTTTGGCAAGGGAGGGAGGGAGATGGTTTTCTATTATAGGGGACAAAAGTTTTGAGTTGGTCTTGGCACAGGTACCAGCAGACAACCCCCTCAGCTGCTACTAAACTGGCCCTTTTCCCCAACCCAGGTCTCCTGGAGATCCCCTTTTTCCCCTCCCATCCCAGACCCTGAGCTCCTTGTTAGCCCCAGCTGCTGAGCCTCGCCATACTTCCCACCCTGAAGTGAGACAAACGCTGAATACCAGCGGAATCTAGCCACCCAAAATATGCTTAGGAGGAGAAAGCCTCCCACATCCCGTCCCCTGGGTCCCCCCATAGCCCCCTGCTCCCGGCCATGGCCTCAACCCCTGCAGATGGCAGCCTGCACCACAGAAAGGCAACTTAGGACTGCTTTCTTTTTTTTTTCCTCCAGCTCTTGGCTGTAATTGGATTCAGTTTGAAACAACCACGTCCCCACCAGGAAAGGAGGGCATTGGGGCGGGGGCGGGGGAGAGGCTGCGGGAGAAGGGAGGGACCTGAGGAGAGAGCAAGAGAGGGCTCCCGACCCAGTTCGCCGACTAAGCAGAAGAAAGATCAAAAAACGAAAAAGAGAAGAGCAAACAGGCACTTTGAAGAACAATCCCCTCTTCTCCAAGCCAACAGCGCTCTAAGAATCCAAATTCACTGCCTCCTGAAGACAAAGGCGCCCCGAGGGAGAGTCGGCGCGACCCCAGGGCGTGGGCCCCGCTGCGGAGCCCGAACGGCTCAGCTGCCCCGACGGCCGCAGACCATGTCTCCCTCCCCACGACCTGCTCGCAGGCTGCTCCTCCCCCTGTTCACGCTCGGCACCGCGCTAGCCTCCATCGGCTCGGCCCAAAGCAGCAGCTTCAGCCCCGAAGTAAGTGAGCTCCTCCGGCCCTTCCCGGAGTCGCGCCTGCCGGGGAGATGAGCCCGGGGGTCTCCAGGGGACAACCCCCATTCGGAAAGGAGGGCTCTCGGGGTCTCGGCTGCTCCGGTCTGCAGGATTCCCCCTCCCTTTTTCTTTCTTTCCTCATCTCCTAACTTGCAAGTCGGTCCAACTTTTGCCTGCTTGCATCCTCACCCCTCCCAGACTTTCCTTCCCATTCCTTCCTTTGCTTAGAAGAACTTTACAGCTGAGATAGACCATCATCCCCCAATTCCCCTGGGCTCTGAGCTCAGCTCTGAAACTAGTTGGGAGCCAGATAAATATTTGGAATCCGCTCAAACCCCGAGCTGTCCCCGTTTCTTGTCATTTGCGAGTTCGTTGTTTCTTCAACTTTCCAGCTCTCCAGCCCTCTACAGCCCGCGGGCCCTCCGCGGGTGCCTCGGCGGCCAGGGAAGAGAGGTCCCGGACGGAGGGCGCGGAGGCTCTCCTGGCCCCCCACGTCTCGGCAGCCCCTTCCCGCCTCCCCAGCACCCCCGCGCACGCATCCTCCGCCAGGTGGGGTCGGAGGTGGACGGCGCGGAGCGGTCCCGTCCCCCAGCCCTGCTTGTACCTGGCCCGGCGCCCTGGCGTCGAGGGTCGCGGGCCGGGCCCCTGGCCGCCTTTCCGTACACACAAAGCTCTAGTTGTGAGCCGAGGGCTCGGCTGGGCCAGCTCCTCCTCCCCCCGTCGGCGCCTTCAGGCCCTTTTTTATTGTTGTTAATTGTTTTTCCGTGTTAACTGCAGGAAGACTGGGGGCATTCTACGGGGAGTAGGGAGAGGGCCTGGCCCAGGTTGCCAGCACATCCCTCGACTGACTCTGGCGACCCCCACCCCCACCCCTGCCCTGGCGCTGGCCCACCGGGCCCGGGAGGAAGCCGCGTGGGAGTTGTCTGAGAGGTTTTTGCTCTCTCTCTCTCTTATTTTGGGGTGAAGGTGGGAGACGGATTTTATCAGTTTCTTATTTTGGGCCGTCCCAACCCACTCTGCCCGGCGAGAGCCTGGGTGCGGTCGGGAGGGGCCAGGAAGGGCCAGCGAAGGGGGAGGGGATCTGGACTTGGCTTCCTCCCGTCCAGGTCCCACTCCGCAGGAAACTTCTCCAGGAAGAAGAACACGCTCTTTCTGTCCCTGAAGGGATCTGGGGCTCAGTGGAAAAGTGTGCCTCTAGTAGTTGAGGTGGAGGACACACAGTGGAGAGCTCAGAGACCCGGGAGAGTGCAAATCTGCCTAGGGGCTGAGGGTAAATCCGACTGACTTGAGTCTTCATCTGAGGCCCGAAAAGGAGAGCGCCTAACAAAAGGAGCCTGGGTATCTAGGGGCTGCCCACTGCCAACTTCCCCCGCCCTGCCTGCCTTCCCTCCCCTGCCCCGCCAGGCCCCCTAGGGGAGGGGCGGCAGCCCTGGCTCTGTTTAAAGTGGGTCATGGGCAGTCCCAGTGCCAGAACCACCATTTGCTCCTGGGCCATGGAAGAGTGGGAGGCAGAGGAAGGGAGGAGGAGGCCCAGAGGCTAAGACCGAGGGCATGCTGTATTGCCAAAGATCCCCCAACCCTGCCAGGACCCCTGCGCCAGAGCTCAGAGGGGTTCCCTTGACTTTACCCTGCACCCATCATTTCTCAAGACAAAGCCAGCAGACTGAGTTCTTTGACCCAAAATAGTTGCTCCCTCTCCAGGCCAATCTGGAGGGAGTGGTGGGGTGCCCCAGACCTCAGGCAGTGCGTCCCTCCTACCAGGCTCCCCACAGTCCTGCAACAGCTCCAGGACTACCCTCCCCCCCACTTTGGCCTGTCTGGTGCTCAGCACTTCCCCCACCCAGCCGCAGACACAGAGTCCTCTCTTCTGTGGTTCGGACCTCATAGTCTTCTCTGTGGTTCCTGCTTTGCTCAGAGCCTGCCCCTGTGAGGTGGAGGGAAGAAAGCCTGGGCCTGGGAGGAGAAGAGGGATGGATACACTTGCCTTCCAGGCCTGTGGCTCTCTTGACTCTAGGGAAGTTCTTTTCTTGACTAACCTCTATTTCTCTCTATAGGGTGTGGGGTGGAGGTTGTGGGTGTGAATGTTTAGACCTGCCTACCAGTGGTTAAGAGATCGATCGGCTGCTAACCAAAGGGTCAGCAGTTCGAATCTACCAGCTGCTCCTTGGAAACCCTATAAGTCAGTTCTACTCTGTCCTGTAGGGTCGCTATGAGTCAGAATCGACTTGATGGCAATGGGGTATCTTCTTGAAAGATTCATCAGGGAGAGGGATTTATCCCAGAGGTCCTCCTGGATGTGGGTTCTCCCCACCTCTCTGCCACCTCCCTTCTGTCAGCCTGCCCTAGAAGATTCCCTTCAGCTTTGCTCTCAGAGTTGAGGGGGACTGGCCTCAGTCCTACTAACTTAGTTCTAGGAGTAGGTTACTCCCATCCTTCCCCAAAGCTGCTCTCCCGCCAGGGGGTCACAGGCCTGGAGTGTGCCTACCCTACAGATGAGGCTGGGGCAAAGGGAGTTTCCTGCATACTTGGGCACAGGCTATAACAGGACTTCCATGGGCAATGGTTGTGGCATCAGCCAGCACAGGTCAGGGCAAGCCCACAGCTCCTGGAGAGCAGCCCGGGACTGGGAGTACCCTGTTTAGCTCCCCTCTGGAATGCCAGAAGTTAAACTTCACTCCCTTCTGTACCCATGAGGAGGGGCTCTCAGAGCCCAACGGTACAAGGGCTGTTCAGGCCAGGCCTGTTGTCTGGGAAAAGGCTGGGCTGTTTACAGCCCAGGCCCTAACTCCCATCAGCCTTGGGGGATCACTTCCCAGAACTGTGTTGCAATTCCTCCCCCTGCAGGCTCAGGTCCCCAGTCAGCTGCTCCTGAATCACCCCCAGCCTCAGTGCGAGGGCACTGCTCTGATACCCAGGGCCTGGAGGTACAGGGCCTCATGGAAATCCATTCTCCTGACCCTGGGCAGGAAGAATGGGAGACAAAGCACCTGAGAGCAGTCTACACTGCATACTCTATCCTAGGCAACCTGCAGCCCCACTCTGGGCTCCTTCAGAAGGCAAAGCAGCAGCAGGGACCAGAGCTGTCTGGGTAGTGTCTCCCCATCAGAGAAGCCAAATATCCTCATATTCCATATGCAGTCTGGCTCGTTTTACTTTTAAGGCTTTAGGAAAATACTCAATTGTTCTTACAATAAAGACTGACTTTTTCCTTCATAGGTCTTTGCGATGTGCGTACCTTTCAGTCAAACACCAAAAACCCAACTTTAATTGAAAGCAATATGCCAGCCTTTATATTATGAACAATTTACAACATACCTGAAATAAAATACAGTTTTCAAGCCTCCATCACCCCCTATCTGCCACTCCTTCTCTGGTGTACTAAAAACCTTAAACAGGCCTTTAGTCTCATCAGCCTTCGGTCAGATGCTGCTTGGATGGGGACAGTGGCAGGATCCCAGTTCAGGCTGAATCACACCTCTTGCCAACTCCAAAGGCTCCAACTTCCCATGTCAGCATCCAGCCTCAGCCCTAGCTTCCCTCCTTTCTTAAAAGGTCTCAGCTGTGAGGGTCCTAGAGCCACGGGCACCCCTGTCCCAGAAAGGCTTCATGCCAGGCCCAAAAGTGGAGCCCGGCAGACTCCAAGCCTGCCCCTGTCTGCTTGCCCTCTACCACGGGCACAGCCCTTTCCCACATGGGACATGTTGTATTTGCAAGAACACTGACACAGAAGAGAAAAGTGCTGGAAGGAATCACAGTTCTGAGAAGACAGCCTAGAACTCTCTATTAAACCATCAGGGCACCTAACCTCAAGAGAGCTACAGCCAAAGTCCAGAGCTTGTGGCTCCCTACCCCTGTTTGAGCCCAAGCTCCACGAAGTAAACCATGCTGGGGCCTGCAGCCAGAGCTCAGGTCCAGCCTGGGAGTCCCCTATCCCCCTGCCAGGGCCAGGCTGGGGGAGGCAGAGGCTCCCCGTGGGCCAGGTGGGGATGCTCTAAGGCAGACCCCTTTCCTACAGGGCTGGCTGCAGCAGTATGGCTACCTGCCCCCTGGGGACCTGCGTACTCACACACAGCGCTCACCCCAGTCACTCTCAGCTGCCATCGCTGCCATGCAGAGGTTCTATGGTTTGCGAGTGACAGGCAAGGCCGATGCAGACACCATGAAGTAAGTGCTAGACCTTGACAGGAATTCTTCTGCCCCAGCACCCACTGACATACACACAAGGACCAGGGATGTTGCTACCTGAATGCCTGGCTCCTGCCCTCCAGAGCCCATCCCCACATGCTGATCTTGACCCTCTCATATTCACCCTAGCCTCATGACCTTGGCCTTTCTCCACAATGACCCTACCCCTGTACCCAATGAACCTCACCCCACACTGACCCTGGTCCCCAGTGTTCCCCCTCTCCCCTGGAACCTTTCTCTTTCATACCACCTACTGACCCCAATCCTCAACCCACCTCAGGGCCATGCGGCGCCCCCGCTGTGGTGTTCCAGACAAGTTTGGGGCTGAGATCAAGGCCAATGTCCGAAGGAAGCGCTATGCCATCCAGGGCCTCAAATGGCAACATAATGAGATTACTTTCTGGTGAGTCCAACAGGCAAGCCACCTTTCTCACATCTGGTTACCCTTCCTTATCAGCTGTGCTTACACAGGGGCACAGAACCTCCTTGTCCCCTCACGTCTGTTCTGGGAAAGTATCCTTGGGAGTGGGGAAGAAAATGGTTGTAACCCTGGTGAAAAATGCAGCCAGTGGGGGGTGCACCTTAGGGCCAGAGAGCAAAGCCTGGGGGTCCCCCAGGCCCACAGTTCATGAGACAGAGGCATCATGAAGCCCCAAGAAAAAGCTGGGTCAGGCAAAGGTGGCGGGGCAGTTCAGTCAGACCCAGGAGAGTTCAGGGAAGAAGAATTTTGGCCCTTGCTATCCTAACACCCCCATCCTCTCCTCACGTGGCTGGACCTCAGCATCCAGAATTACACCCCCAAGGTGGGCGAGTATGCCACATTCGAGGCCATTCGCAAGGCATTCCGCGTGTGGGAGAGTGCCACACCGCTGCGCTTCCGCGAGGTGCCCTATGCCTACATCCGTGAGGGCCATGAGAAGCAGGCCGACATCATGATCTTCTTTGCCGAGGGCTTCCATGGCGACAGCACACCCTTCGATGGCGAGGGCGGCTTCCTGGCCCACGCCTACTTCCCGGGCCCCAACATTGGAGGGGACACCCACTTTGACTCTGCCGAGCCCTGGACTGTCCGGAATGAGGATCTCAATGGTGAGCCCTGGGACTCTAACTCCAGGGAGAGCCTGCGATCATCTGTAGGGGGGTTCTCCTCCCTGTTCTTAAAACCTCAGACCCCAAAGTCTCAGGGCTAGAAGAAACCACAGTGGTCTCCTGGTCTGACTTCTAATCAAAACAGGGATCCTGTCTTGAGCTACTTATGTCTGGTCCATTCTCTCACCTACTAACTGACTTCCCAGACAAAGACTTCAAAGCATCCTTATTACCCACTTTTCCAGGCAAATGTCATGGCTAGCTCCTGAGAGAAACTGACGCCCTCTCTGGGCCTCAGCTTCCCTTAACACATATCTTCCTGAGATCCCGCTCCAGAGCACTCGCTCATCTCCACCCCGAGGAGGTTGCTGACTGGCTTTGTGCTTTATTGCCAATTGTGAGCTGAACCTCAGGATTTGGTTACTTGGGTGGAAATGTGGCAGGCAGGCTTGAGAGTAAAACTGAAGCCTCTGGTAGGAAAGCAGGGAACGTGAGGAAGGGGACCCAGGCAAGGCCGTCGTAACCATCCCTACCCCCTCCAGGGAATGACATCTTCCTGGTGGCTGTGCATGAGCTGGGCCATGCCCTGGGCCTTGAGCATTCCAATGACCCCTCAGCCATCATGGCACCCTTTTACCAGTGGATGGACACAGAGAACTTTGTGCTGCCCGATGATGACCGCCGGGGCATCCAGCAGCTTTATGGCAAGTAATCTACCCTCACACCTGCTCCTTTCTCTCTGCTCCTTGTACCTACCTGGTTTCTCTGGTCTGTGCAGTTTTTTCCTCTGCCATGCTTGTCTCCTGATCCTGCATAGTCTCCTCCTGCCATCCAACCTGACCCTAATTCCTTCAGCTCCCATTTTTGACCCCAGTTTTCTATCTTTTCCCTGCTGATTGCCTCAGCTTCCCCCAGAGGCCCATCCCCACCTTTCCAAGGGTGTTGTCTGCCCATCTGTCTGTTCTTCCCTCCCAGTCTGCTACTAAGTCTGAAATGCCTTTGTGTTTTCTCTCCAGGTAGTAAGTCAGGGTCCCCTACCAAGATGCCCCCTCAACCGAGGACAACCTCCCGGCCCTCTGTCCCTGATAAGCCCAAAAATCCCACTTACGGACCCAACATCTGTGACGGGAACTTTGACACTGTGGCCGTGCTCCGAGGGGAGATGTTTGTCTTCAAGGTGAGAGGAGGAAGAAGTGGGTTGGTTTGGGGGATGAGGGCTCTGTGGTCGGGAGGCTGGGTCGAAACAGCAACAGGAGGACTAAACTAAAATCAAGGCACAAGGACTGGAGGAGCTTTGGAGACTGAGCTACAGAAGATAATGTACTCTTCTTCCTGCTCTGATTGGCTTCTAGGAGCGTTGGTTTTGGCGGGTGAGGAATAACCAAGTAATGGATGGTTACCCAATGCCCATTGGCCAGTTCTGGCGGGGCTTGCCTGCATCTGTCAACACTGCCTATGAGAGGAAGGATGGCAAGTTTGTCTTTTTCAGAGGTAACCAGGCATCCCCCTCGGTCTTTGGGGTTGGGGAGAGTCTCCCTAGAGGAGTTGATTCTAGTTGACTTCTCCAAAGACCCTAGAGCCCAAGTTGACTCCAGATCCTACCCTTCTCTGTCCTACCAGGAGACAAGCATTGGGTGTTTGACGAAGCTTCCCTGGAACCTGGCTACCCCAAGCACATTAAGGAGTTGGGCCGAGGACTGCCTACCGACAAAATCGATGCCGCTCTCTTCTGGATGCCCAACGGAAAGACCTACTTCTTCCGGGGAAACAAGTAAAACATCAAGCCCTTAACCCCAGAACCCCTTTACCCCTTCCCTCCTCAGAGCCCCCTCCCCCACCACACACACACACACACACACACGCGCGCGCGCACACACACGTTTCCCTCAATTTTGGAGGAAGATCCACTTCACCCCTGAGATATTTCCCTGGAGAAGGAGCTGGCTGGCTGACCCTCTGTTGCTGCCTAACAACAGGCAGTTTCCAATGGGTGCTGAGTGAGTAGGATGTGACCGGGTCACCATTTCAGACCTGGTCATTTGACGCCTCCTGCCCCCAGCCCTGTGCCTCCATCCCAGCAGCCAGGCACTGTTATTAAGGGCTGCTGGTGACTCCTTAACTGCCTGGGCCCTCCTTCCCACCCCCATCTTCCGCCTCTTTCAGCTGCAGGCTCTCATTACTCAAGACCCCTGTCCCCCACCCTCTCCACAGCCACCCTTCTCCCACTGGTGAATTCAGTCCTAGGGCCCACTGTCCTGAGAGGACATGCCTAGTGTGCAACCACTTCCCTCCCCCTCTCCCAGGTACTACCGTTTCAACGAGGAGCTCAGGGCAGTGGACAGCGAGTACCCCAAAAACATCAAAGTCTGGGAAGGAATTCCTGAGTCACCCAGGGGGTCATTCATGGGCAGCGATGAAGGTGAGAGGGGCAAGAGGAGATGTCCGATGAAGGTGAGAGGGGCAAGAGGAGATGTCCGTGAGGGGAGAATGGGATTAGGGAGTTCAGGAAGAGCTGGAGGAAAGACTGAGAGTATCGTGTGGAAAATAATGATGATAATAAATAATAGTGGAGCCCTCACCATGTGCCAGGTATTGTGCTCAGTGCTGTACATGCATGACACCTTTCATCCCCACCATTCTTCCAACCTGGCACTATAGTCATCCTCGTTTCACAGCTGAAGAAACTGACACTCAGAGAGGTTAAGAAATTAACTTGGCTGGTGCTCACATTAATAGATTTTCTTTCTGCCCCTCTCCTCTCTTTGGCTTCTCTCCTGGACCCTGCCCCCATCTATTGTCTTCTTGGCCGCCTTCTTGTTGATCCCCTGCAGTCTTCACTTATTTCTACAAGGGGAACAAATACTGGAAATTCAACAACCAGAAGCTAAAGGTGGAGCCGGGCTACCCCAAGTCAGCCCTGCGGGACTGGATGGGCTGCCCGTCGTCTGGGAGCCGGCCGGATGAGGGGACTGAGGAGGAGACGGAAGTGATCATCATCGAGGTGGACGAGGAGGGCAGTGGAGCAGTAAGCGCGGCCGCTGTGGTGCTGCCTGTGCTGCTGCTGCTTCTGGTGCTGGCAGTGGGCCTTGCCGTCTTCTTCTTCAGACGCCATGGGACCCCCAAGCAACTGCTGTATTGCCAGCGCTCCCTGCTGGACAAGGTCTGACCCCCACCACTGGCCCGCCCACTCCTACCACAAGGACTTTGCCTCTAAAGGCCAGTGGCAGCAGGTGGTGGTGGGTGGGCTGCTCCCACCCGTCCCAAGCTCCCTCCCCACAACCCCCCTATACCCTAATCCCCTTCCCCTGACTGCTTTCTTCTCTCTGTCCTCAGACTGGCCTCTCCCACCCTCACCCCTGGTGTCACTTCTTTCCTAGAAGGGTCCCTTGGGGGCTGAGCGGGGGGGGCCTTTCAGTCTCTGTCCCTCAGGGGAACCCTGTAGCTTGGTGTGTGTCCAGCCCCAACTGAATGTCTTGGGGGCTCTGCACTTGAAGGCAGGACCCTCAGACCTCACTGGTAAAGGTCAAATTGGGGTCATCTGCTCCTTTCCCATTCCCTGGCATACGTTTAACCTCTGAACTCTGACCTCAGGAGGCTCTGGGCACCCCAGCCCCACAAGCCCCCAGGTGTACCCAATTGGCAGCCTCCCACCACTCTTTCTGGCTAAAAGGAATCTAATTTTGTGTGGAGGAGACCCTGAAAGAGTGTGAACGAGATGAGGACTGTCCAGCCACCTTAAGACTTTGGTAGCAAAACTCAGAAGAGGGTCTTTATTGATAGGTCAGCCCAGCTTCTTTCCACAAAAATCTGCTTCTGCCCCACCTACCCCCGAGAACTTCCAAGGAAGGAGCCTGAGCCATTAAGGACTAAATTGGGGCTAGAGAAGCCCTTGGCAGCCTTACCCCTCTCAAATGTTAGCCTTAGATGGGGATTTCAAGGTTGGAGGAGCTACTGGGGTGGGTGGGCCAAGGGGAGAGACCCGGTGGGTCTGGAGCCCTGGAGGTGAGCCTGAAGGCCACAAAGGCCAAGAAAGAACCATACTTAAATGTAGGCAGCTGGGGCTGGGACCCAGGGGCAGAGTAGTCAGAGGGAACAGAATGGGACCAAAAGGGTAAATGAGGAGGTACAGCAGTAGACGGCTGGGGTGCTACGGAGGAGCTGTGGTACCCAGGAGAGGGCACATTTTACTGGAGCTCCAAGGAAGGGCCTGAGAAAGGCACGCTTGCTCTTCTTTGGTCCCCTTCCTCGCTGACCAGAAAGCATTGAGGGGAAGGGTGGGAAGCCCAGAGAAAGGAGCAAAGAGGGCATACATGACAGAGACTGGTAACTTTGGAACCTCAGTGAGCGAGGCCACCTAGTCTAGGTAGCCAAGGAGGTTCCCAGAGGCCTGGCAGGCTCAGTCTTAGCCTGCATCAGCCAGGATAGGGGCTGGGCATTACCTCCAGCCTCAGTGAGGGGGCAGGCGCCTGGGTGTCTCTTGGCTAGGTAGCTCCTAACTCCCCTAGCCTATATTACCAATGTCCTGTCCTCCCTCTCCCCCACCCAGCCGGCCTATTTGGAGTCTCCTTTGGCCATCGAAGGTGGTCATGGTACCGGGGACATGGCAGAGTGACAGACCCTGTGGAGGGTGTGAGACGAGAGAGATGTTGGGAGGGCATGAGGGGTGGGGGTGTAAACGGCGTGAACGGTGCTGGCAGTTCAGCTAAATTTCTGTCTTGTTTGTTTTTTTTGTTTTGTTTAATGTATATTTTTATTATAATTATTATATATGAACTCCATTCAAATCGTTCCTTTTTGTTAACAAGGGGCATGGGGAGGGGAGGGGGAGGGGGGGCAGAGGCATTTGACCCCAGGAACCTGCAGGGCGGGGCTGGGTCAGTGCCGTTATGGACATCTTTGACCTTGTTCAACCTTTCCACAAAGAATAAACCATGTTTCACATTCTTTGTTTGGCTGCCAGTCTCTGTAGGGGTGACTGGGATGTGGTTATGAGGGGAATGGAAACGGGGAGCTGCATCATAAGCAGTGTATTCCATGAGATGGAGCTTTGGTATTTTTCATAAAGGAATATGTTTATTCTTAGTGGACTGAAAGTTTCGGGGGCCAGAGTTGGGTAGAAGGCCTACCCTACTGAGGCAGAGGATTGGTTGACAGAGCTCAGGGGCTCTCCCCTCAACCTAGCTGAAAAGGCTACCTTTGAGACCCAAGGCTGCCAAGGCAAGAGGAAGTGGTCAGACTGAGGCCACTTGGAAAATCTTCCTAAATTGCATTACCCTGTCCTGTGATCTGGCCGCAGACCCTCAGTTCCCTTACTCCTCTTGCCTGCCACAGGGGGATTCCCATGAGCATATTCAGTTTCATTCCCCGTGGCAGGCCCTTCACCCTCAGTCCTCAGGACTTAAGTCTCTTCCAGGCAGCAGAGGGTGGGGCCGACAGAAAGGAGGGGAAAGAGAGAAGAACTTGCCCCAGGGCCAGTAAGGAGCAGCCTGCCTCTGATAGAACAGGGGGCCTCAAGGAACCCAATTGCCCAGAAGTGCCAGGTTGGTCAGGTTAGAAGGGCAGAATAACAAGGCTTTGTTTCCTCTTTCCTTAGAAACTGCTGTCCCAGACAGGGTTCCCAGGCTGGGCTTCCTCTGAAACCAGCCTGAGGGAGGAATCGCTCAGTTGCTGAGTCAGCTCAGCTGGAGAAGAGCAGCCTCTTTTCCTCACTGCACCTCCAGCCCCGCTTCCTGCCTCAGCCCAGCCCACCCCTGGCCCCGGCCCAGGCCCCCTCCACAGCCAGCCCCTCAGAGCCCTGGCCACACCTATGCCAGTGGGTCTATCCAGCTGGTATTCAGGGCTGGTTGGTGTGATTGCTTTGGCAGAAGGGGTCCCCACCTTCCTGCCAGCCAGAAACCCTGACCCCGTGCTTGGCCTCCTGCACTGTCCCTGCCAACAGCTGTATGGCAGGGTCTGTGAGTCTCAGTGGAGTTGGACACCACCTCCCACCACTCTCACTGGAGATGGGACCCTGAGAAGCCAGCAGGGGGAAGTCAGGGGTGTCTGGGGGTGGTGGGGTCTGCGTGTGTGGCAGAGAGCTCAAACATGAGCTCATGGCCCCACTGTGTTTTTGTGGTCCACATCTGGAGGCAATTACAGTTGTTATCCAGTGGGAGTCCTGCAAAACACAGCTGGAGCCAGTGGAGGAGCCTAGGGAGGGGGGACTGCCAGAGGGAAGAGGAGGGGGAGCCTAGCGCTCCCGCGGCTGGAGTGCGGTTTCCCCATCACGAGGAAATTGTTTGGCCCTGATTCTGGAATCACAAGATGCTCTCTGAAGCCAAGGGGGAGAGATGGGAATGGAGGACCAGAGACAAGGGGGGAAGAGGTAGAAGATGGGCTTCACAAGCAGGGGGCACTGGGGAGTGAGGGCAATAAGGTCCCGTGCTCAGACCTGCCCAAGCCAACCCAGTGAACTGCCTGGTGACCCTGGGAGGTCCCCTAGGGCTCACAAGGCCCCACCAGAGGGAACCACCAGGGCCAGGTTGGGTTGAGGGAGATCAGAGAGCCCTGTGGCTCCAGAGAGACCTGCAGGCTCTGCTTTTGCTGGCCCTACCCAGCTTTGTCCATTGGGCCTGACCCAGTTTCTATGGTTCCAAGTTCCTTTATTCGAAAGCAGCACATGTGAGTTGGAGCAGCCAGGAGGGAGCCAAAGGGAATCTGCAGGAGGTTTGGGCAGAACCCAGGGAAGCAGGACGCTAAGGAGAGGCTGGATTGTGGGGAGAGGACTGAGGAGGGGCAGTGCTCTGCCCACCATTGCAGATTTGGAGGGGAGAGACTTGGACTCCCTTGTCATTGACTCCTTCTCCAGGGCTCCTGCCACCAGCTGGGCCCATTCCTCCAGGGCTGCTAGCCAGGCGCTGGGTCAGCGAGATGGGAAGGAAAGGGAAAGGGAGATCTAACAGGCGCGCTGCTTTCCAGAGCAGAGAGGAGTGGGCAGAGTGACCCCTCACCCCAATCTGGCTGGTTCTGCTGGTTTTTCACTGTCCCTCCCCTAGGGCCCCTTGCCCCTACAATCTTCAGTCCTCTTTCCCCTATGTAAGGAGCCCTGGTGGCCCAGTGGTTAAAGCACTCAGCTGCTAACCAAAAGGTTAGTGGTTCAAAACCACCGGTGGCTCCGCAAGAGAAAGATTCGGCAGTCTGTTTCCATAAAGATTTACAGCCTTGGAAACCCTATGGGGCAGCTCTACTCTGACCTGTAGAGTTGCTATGAGTTGGAATTGACTTGACAGCAGTGGGTTCGGGTTTTTGTTTTGTTTTGTTTACCCTTGTGTATCCCTACTTCCCTTTCCAGCAAAGGGGAGAAGAAGGGGCAAGAAACTAACATTTACTGAGGTCCTCACACACCTTATGACACGGGCACTAACGTTGCCTCCATTTTACAGATGAGGAAACTGAGGCCCAGAAAGGTAAATGACTTGCTCAAGGTCACCCAGCTCGTAAGTCCAAAATTCAAACCCAGGTCTGATTTTTTTTCTGTACAGGCAGATTCTGACAGGTCTCTTAGGTGTCTCTTCCAGTGGGCGGGCCTCTGTAGCTGGGTGTCTCCATGGTGGTGTGTATTCTGGGGACCTGTCAGCATCTGTGTACTGGCTTAGTGTGTCATGTTTTTGTGCGACAGCATTGGCATGGGGGATGAGAGTGCAGGGGGAGAGGGACTTTTCCTCAGGAATCTACTTTGTCAGGCCAGCCTGTGGCCCCCCTTCTTGAGGATAGAAACAGGCACTCTGAGGGAGGGAAGGGACAGCAAGACTCAGAAGGCAGAGGGACTGAGTGGGGACAATGGCAGCAGCTAGGAGAAAGGTGCAGGTGGTAAATGGCTGTGCGAGGGCCTGAAGGAGGGGGAGACATGCAGGAGGTGCCCATTCCCTAAGGCCCCAAGGAAACCCCAGTAAAATCTGTTCCACTGTCCTGCAGACCTTGTACCCCTTCCTACCCAGCCCCCCATATCTGACTTTACCTCCTTCTGGAGACCAATTCCTGCACACCTGGTCCCACCCCTGGGGGTTCCTGTCTTCCTCCTCCCCAACAGACTGGGGAGATTTGGGAGACTCAGAGCCTGCCTGTGAGGGGGTTGGGAAGCCAGCCCCTGGAAGGGAGGCAGGCCCGACTGGCCAGAGGCCACCTTCC